GTTTGATATTGAGACCCAGTTGATAAAAATTCTGCTGCTTAAATAGGAGATTATATAAAATTGAAAACAGTGACTTGATGTTATTTTTAACACAAAATATCTTAAATGTGACTTAGGTAAATATAAATTGACACAATAGTACTTGTCTAATATTAATTTTAACACATAAATTCTACAGATATGTCTGTATTTGGCATTGTTCAATATTTACCTTTTAGGATATTAGGTACCAGTTTAATTTCCATGCCTCTGAGTTAAATGTGAAGTTATAGAGTAACAGGATACTAGAAGCAGAGAAAGGTGTTCCTTCACATTTTCAGTATTAGCTTGTTAGATTACTGTTGTGTCCCTTTTAAAAACCAAAATTTTGAATTTGATTCATCCACTCATTGAGGTGCATATATTAAATTTTCCATTATTCTCAGATTAAATTTGGCAAGCTAGATGTCTGCCATAAACTTAAGATAAGGCTTTCATGTAAAACCTAATAGTTTTCTGACACTAACACAGCCAATAGTGCATTCTGGTTTTCTTATTCTGAGCTCACGATTGTGCTAGCACTCATTGCCAGTATTCTAGTCACTAAAAACCATTTGAGTGGCAAGCTTTTGAGGCTTCTTCACTGGCAACTGGTCAGGGCTGGGTAGGTCTCAGTGAGAGCACAGGTTCAACATGCATGAGACACTGTCTTCAGTCCCTGCACTGAAAAACTGAAAGGGGGCAAAGCATTTTGACACATGTGTCTTCCACTTTCGGATTGTGTGAAAACAAAATATTAGCCATATGGAAACTCATTAGAGCACTGCCTGCTTCAGGTCAAGAAATATTTCAACAGTTTTTCATTTCACATTTTTATTTTTGTTTCTCAGGAAGGCATTAATCACAGGCATAGGCATTTTATCTTCAGTTATAAAAATAAAAAAATTTGATTTAATCAAATATAATTTGGAATTTTGAGGTCATAGTGGTATTTTATGGTCTTTGCATCAAGGCTGTCATTATAAGAAAGATATGTAAATCCAATCACATTTGGATAGAATCTACTTGCATTGGTTTGACTAGTGACATCATGTTGTTACAAGCATGTTCAGCATTTAGTATTAATTCTACTTTCTTTGAATGTATCTATCTGGAATGAAGACAAGTGTTTCCTCTGTACAAGAATTGTTTTGACAGACAGGCACAGAAGAGAGAGCAATCTATCCTTGTGTCTGACTGGAGCTTTTTCCCACACAGATTCCCTGTAACCAGGAAAGAGTTGACAATGGCGATATAGTTCATGTAAGACATAACAATTAGCTACAGAAACAAACCCAGTAATATTATTATTAGGATAAAGGTCATTTAGAGAGAAAATGTGGAGGTCCTATAGCATTGCATTTCCAGCTCGTTTTTACTGCAAATAGTTTCAAATGGTTCCTATCTTTGTGATATTACTTAGGCTCTGAAAAGAGATTGACAAAGCCACTAACAAATAATGAATACTATGAATCCAATGTAGATGTGCAAGAAATCTGTGTATACCTTTGCCTTTAGTAACAAGTAGCATTTTTAAGGGATATTGAATCCCTAAGAATACACAAATGATATCATCCAGAAGCAACCAAAAGATTTCTTTCACATTTATTTAAAAACAACTTCCATATTATTAACTCCAGAGTAGTTAGAACTTCAGTTTTCTGGGACAGTCTCATGCATTCTCCATTCTTACAGATATAGTGGCAAACAGGATAACACTGGTGAAAGGTGCTCTAAATTATTTTTAAACTACAAATATTTTCATAGACTGTTTAATATGGAATTAAAAGAAAAAGTATGCAAGAAATTACATTTCAGCTAAAGATAATGTCTCTTTCAACCAGTACATTTCTCCCTTTTACTGTTTATATAATTATTGTTCTAAACATTTAAAATTTTTCTTGTGTTTTCCTATTTAAATTTACATTTAGAAATTGGGAGGAAACTGAGTCAAAATGGAAAGACTGCTTCAAAAAAAATCTGAACATTTTATCAAACGAGATATGAATTTCACAGACATGTGAATTGCTGAATATTCTTTAGGAGAAAGAAAATGAAAACTGCAGCCTAAATAGTTGCTGCCTTTAATGGTTTTAAGCAGACACAATAAGAGGACAGAAGCAGCATGAACACTAATTATTTGGAAATATGTCTTCATATCTTAGCAGCCTTAAGGTCTTTAACTTGTCTTGGTTCTCCCACCTCCATTTCTTTTCAGAAAATTTGACAAATTGAAGCATACTTTGTTTTAAGTCTTAATCATTATCATGCAATACTTTGATATGCTATGGCATCATTAAATGACAAATTAGTTGATTCTAAATGATTTTGACTTATCCTCCATTTGGCTGTTAAGACTCATAAAGACATTTCCTTTTGCAGATACAATGAAATCTAATAAGAATAGGCAAATACATACTTTGCCAGTATAAATATCAATATAAACTAGGCAAACCACACGTAACTGAAGGACAGGTAGATGCATATGGGTTGAACACTAAACATACAAAGGAGGTTCAAGTATGCTTTTTGTCGTTTTTGGTGTTGTTTTGATTTTCAGCTATCAAAAGAGTTTGGCTTCTGCTACCAAACTTCACAGGGATGACAAAGTAGAAAATAATACAAGTACCTACCCCTAGAATGAGAAGCTACCTTTACCTCTAAGTTTCTGGAGAACCCAGACATGGTTTCACACTTCAAGACACAAAGCTTCCCCTTATACTAGTAACTCACCAGTATTTTCACATATATTCTCTTCTTCAGGGGCCATTGCTACTGCCACAAGCCTGAAGGCAGCAACATCTCATTAACCTTGTTCTTGGGTTATATGCCATATCTTCACTGTCAGCATCTCAGTGGGGGTCATCTGTCATAATACAGCTACATTCTCATTTTAAACACTTAACAAGACTATCTCTCTCTCAACCCCTGCACTCTTTCTTCCCTTCTTAAAAACATATGAGAATCACTCTTGCAGTTTTCATAGCTAGTTGTCAGTTTTAACTGTTTTCTAAGTTTTGAGAGTTTGATTAGATGCAATGGAACTCAAGTTAAGTGTTGATCTGCAACTATATATGCTTGCACTCTATGACAGAGTACTTCTTATATTTTTTTCAGCTGGAAATTAGCAATCAATTAAGTTATCACAACTGACAATTATTGTCCATGTAACCTTAGAAGCCTTAGATGTTCCTCTCTTTTCTGGAAGTAAATTGACACTAAATACAGTTCTTTAAGTTAATTTTTTATCTCTTGAGAAAGCTGATTTATATTTTAATTTTTTTTTTATTGTGTACAAACTTCTCTCAAGAAGTTCAGTCACTCCCCTCAGGTAGCATCAGCAGTTTGCTACAGTAATACACAAAGGTCTGAGGCAGGGATGAGGTCAGATACCTAGGGGTGTGGGGGGGGCACGGGGGTGTATTCCTTCACAGGGAACCCAGGACCAACAGACTGCCTGTAGCCTGCTTTGCCAGCATACTAGGCTGGAAGCTTGTACCTTCTCCTGTGCTTCAGCCCAACTTCAAACGTTTTTGCTAAGGGAGGTTGAGGAGCCACTGTGACAGATCAAAGCCACTGTCATTTCAAGTGAGAGCCACATTCTTTCATTTTATCTGTCCCATTTTCAACTCTTCCACAGCAACTTCAAGGCAACTTAAGCAAGTTCAGAATCTTTATGCTTTGGCAGCAGTGCACCTGGAAGATTACCAGTGCCACTCCTAGAAATGGCATGGGTAAGCTTGCCCTGGGTCTAGGGACTGGCGGCCAAGAGTAGGTTAAATAGGACCATGAAAACACATCCGGTGCTGTCCTATAATGAAAATAGCTCGTACTCAACTCCTAATTCCTTTCACCTAAATCTCCTGTATCTTACAATGCAAGACCTTGGTTACTTGCTTGCTATTGACATCTGTGTATTGAGATTTTAATTTTTTTGTTCGTTTATTTCCTCCATCATAACTAATTTAAAAAGCTGAATTATATGGTTGTCGTGAGCTCAGTTCAGGATTTATGGTACTTTTAATTTTCCTTTAAGGAGTTAACCCTTCCCAGACTGGTGGCAATGTAAATTCCTTTGCTGTGGTTTCCCCCTTTTCCCATTTTAACCCACATACCCTAGTCAATGACAGTAAATCGGAAAGAGGAACTGTGGGATTCCAGGTCAAAAGTTTCAGAAGCTTGGTGTATAAACCCTTCCTTCTCTCTGGGCTCCCTATAACTCCCCCCCTCCCGAACTTGTCCCATTCCTAGCTGCTTGATGAACAGCAAGTGCAAAGTACTGTGCTAGATAGAGTCAGGCTCTCCACTTGATAAGGCTATCAAGGTACCCTGGTGCTGGATCACAGACCTTCCCTGTCAGAAAAAGCAAGTTCAAGCAGGTAGATGCTCTTAGAAAAGCCCTGAGGGTTTCTCTGCTGGGTGCCCAACCTAAATCATCCAGGGAAAGGGCTACTGAGAGAGGAGACAGGGAGGAGCTCTGACACCTCTCCCCAGATGCAGAGCTGAGGAAGTAAACCAGGAGCTAAGTTGGGAGAGTAATTATCTATGGCGGAGAATCATGAGGCTAAAGCCCTCAGTTGAGAGCCAGCGCCAAGGGGAGTCTCAAAGAAATGCGAATTCTAATTCAACATCTGCAGCGCTCGGGATGCCCGGGTAGAAGCCACAGCCAAGTCCAAATGCCCCCCCTACCCCGGAGGGGGGGGGATCGGCAAACAAAATCAGGATCTTAAAATGACCTAGGGTAAAATGTGGGGGGTGTGGAACACTCTGGCACCTAGGTCAGAAATCAGAAATCCTCCAATATCTCTCTCCTCCCCCTTCTCTCCCCCCCAGGAGGCTAGCGCACAGTAGCCAGTGGGTCCCGGGAGCGGGGATGCCAAGGACTTAAGTTTCACACTCAGTTGTCTGCCAGCATCACCCAGCAGAAAAAAAAGAGAGAAAACGGGGAAAGTGGTGATGGTGGTGGGGGTCGTGGCCCTTACCTTGGTCGGCTCCCACAGTCAGCACCTTGGCATTAGGCAATAATCCCGAGAGAGTGAGGATGGCGAGAAGCAATTGGGACATGGTGATCTTCCCGGTGAGCCTGTGCTGCAGACTGGTCGGTGGCACCCTCGGCCCGGCCGCGGCTGCTGGCAGCCTGAAACACAGCCGCGTCATTTACGAATGTCACTGGAAATTCTTGGGTCGGTGGGTCCAGCCAGTCCTCCTTGCTCTGCCAGGAGCAGGTTGTGGAAGGTGTGCAGAAGCGCGCCTGCGGAGAGTGTGCGAGCGCCAGCCAGGCGCTGTATGTCTGGACTTTTCGATGCAGGGGTACGTCTGATCTTACATCACGCAAGAGGGGCAGAGAGATGCCCGCAGATGGGAATTCACTATTAATCACCGAGGCCTCCGTACACCCCTCTGTCTCCCGCAGAAATCACATCTATTACTAATAAGCGGCGATTAACACAACAAGGAAACAGCCGCAAATGAGAACGCCACAAATCACTGCTCTTTAAGCCTCCTTGAAGAGAAAGTAACTCCTTGTTGTTTCTGTGGGGATCTGGATCCTTAACGAAGGGGGAACTGCAGTGGACCAAGCCAGCCAGGCGCCAGAAAGCATCATCAGCCAGCTAAGAAGTCCCAGTTCTTGCGCTGAGCGAGCAAGCGGCTTCTCAGGCAGAGGTTTTGATGCCTGGGCTACAAGGAAGCTTCCTTTCTGGGAAGCCAACACACATCAGGACCGTGTTTCTCTTAGGGAAATGGTTTCCTCCACTTGACAGCTTGCAGAGCTTTCTCAACTGCACTAGTAACTTTTATGCTGAGTGGTACCTGGGGACAGAGCTGCAAAATTAGTGACTCAGCAGAAACAAAACCAAAACTCTCAAAGTCACTAACCATCAAACACACACACACACACACACACACACACACACACAGAGAGAGAGAGAGAGAGAGAGAGAGAGAGAGAGAGAGAGAGAGAGAGAGAGAGAGAGAGAGAGCAAGTGCAAACAGCCATCCAGGTCCCCAAGCACAATCATATTAAATCAGGGATTGCCAATGGGTTTTTCCCTGAAATTTCTGTTTAACAGGGTACCTCGAGTCATTGAAGCTTTTGTGGTTTTTATTTCCTATATTTCACAAACAATATGGGAGATTTCTGAAACCATGGGGTGTATCAAAATGAGTCTGTGGGACATTTAAGTACATAGGTGTGTTAGTGCACATACAAAGTTTATGCTGATTTTGAGATCATTTAAGAATCACAGTGCTAATTTCTGTATTTAGATTTAATTTGATGTTCAGAAGTGACTGTGGAACAAAAACCTCAGTATCCTAAGAGCTGAAAGCTGACTTTGTTCATAGTAATATAGTCACTGTTTTCCTATGAAAAATAACTTAGACTTTAATATTTTAAAACCAGATGCCAGGTGTGGTGGCCCATGCTCTCAATCCCAACAACAGAGGCCAAAGTTGGTGGCTCTCTGACAGAGTTCTAAGACAGCCAGGGCTGCACAGAGAAACCCTGTCTTAAGTAAACAAATACATAGGAAACTGGCAGAACAAAAACAAGTCAAAAGACAATTAGAGGAGGAGCTGTATTTTAAAGGATTCCTGCACTACCAGGCTTGAAACTTACATATGAATAGAAGAAATATGTCCTAGAAATGACCATAAAAGTCTTGAGAGCTATCTTTGAGAGGTCCAGACTAGAAGCCATTAAGATTCTAGTGAACCAAAGCCCATAAAGGGAACTTTGGAATAAAATGCCAAATATCTGGAAGATGGGTCTTTTCATACATACTCTGATCACATGTGTACCTTTTTTGGCACATTTTTCATATTGAAAAGCTTCACTTTTACTTTGCTTTGTGACATAGTTATTAAAGACAAATTACATTTAATGATTGCAAGTTGTTATACTCACTATCCATTAGATTTTCATTTAGCTTCATAATTCTATGCAGCAAATAGGAAGATTTACTATAAAAACTTCACAAATAAATTATAAAGTTCAAAGAGTGGTAATTGTGAATGTATAGTAATGTTTCTCAAGGGTCCATGTAACATCTGCAGTCTACGGAACCACCCTGGAATAGACTGTATATATCTTTCCTACATAATCCCATTAGCAACTATGATATAAGCTACTGTGAAATTTCCACCCCATTCCCATTTCTCTACAAAAGTGAGTGAGAGATTCCCAAGATCTATTCCAAGGACATCAGATTATTTGTCTTCCACACTGCTCTATGCATTTACCCTTCTTGTACACAAAGTGACAGAGGAGTCACAGACTCCTTTTAGGCAACAGATTTTGAGTCTCAGTAGAAACCTTGGAGGCTTGAAAAGGGAAATCTGGGAAAGTCAGTCAGTGCAATGAAAGCCCAGAAGATGCTGAACTTTCTGGGTGCTCCACTCTGTGCAGGCAGTAATCCAGGAGAATAAACCTTAAAATGCAGGGGCAGAGTGAAAGCAACAACATGGTCTGTTTCAGACCATTTGACCTACTTTATTTCTTCCCTAAATGAAAGAAATTGAAACTGTAATACCCAACTATAGAATCGGAAAGCAAGACAACAATCTTTAAAGCAATAAAATAAAATCAAAACATCAATTGTGAATAACACATGACTCAAATTAATGCTGCAGAAGTTCAGGTGTACAGGACAGTGTTCTTGTTTGTGCAGGGTAACTGGATGTACATGATTTCCACCATGATTGTGTTTCCACTAAGCATTAATGTGAAATACAATTGGAGACATTTTGATGTAAGACAGTAAGTAGATATGATTCCTACAAGCGCTAGTATAAGAAAAACTTCTCCAGCAGTTTGGCAGGAGCATAGAAAAATTGAACAGTTTCCTCTAAGTGAACTGACACCTGCACTGAAATGCTTGCTTGCAGTGGATATTTTAGAAAAAGGATTTAAGAGTTGTGGCCCAGTTAATGCATATGACCAGTTCATCCAGATGCATAATAAAAAAACCTAAATGGAAACAGTGGAATCTCATTGCATCAGAACATTAAATAAAGCAGGTTTTGAAAGGACATGGGAGGAAATTGCCTACCTCACATCAGATCAGCTGCATAAAGTGATTTTTTTCCAACATTTATTCAAAACAACCAATTTATCATGAGAGATGGTTATTATGAGCTCTGCTGCAATTCACAGATATCTAGGAAAAAAAAATTAGCTTAAATTAAATAATGAATTCATAGGTTTTAAGAATTATTCTAATTTAATAGAATCTAAGTAAAAAAGTAACATAGCACAATCTTCTATAAATACTTTTATTTCTCCATAATATATGCTCTTAAGAAAAAGAAAATTAATAAAATATGTTATTGATAAAAGAGAGAAATAGCTAGTTACTATTTTGTTCTTATGACCCATTATAATTTCATTGTAATCAGTTATGAACACTGACTAGAGTCAAACAGATATTTCTCAAGCTATAAGATATAATGTACTTTTTCATTGATACAAATTAGAATAAAACCAATCATTCCTTCTTTTTGGTTTTTGACAGTCAGTAACTATTGGCTATCAGTTAGTGGTAATCTTACACTTTGCCTTCCAGATGCTCTGCCTGTATGTGATGAAACACTACATTTCATTCCTGCTGTTTATCATTGGTGCTCTTGGGGATTTTTAAGTCCCCTGGTATCATTTTGTACACTACCCTTCTCAGTTGTGAGTGAAGTAGAGGAGCTGTGGGTAAACAACACAGAGTCTCATCACTTCTCACTCACTTCTCACTGAAGAAGAAGATGCAGGAGAATTTGTCCAAAGTCTGGCTTGCTAAGGGGCTTAGGATTTACATAACCACTGTCCCAGCACAATGGTATTCTCTCACTTTGCCTCTCCAGAAAGAAAAGTTGACAAGTTTCCAGGGAGCAATACAGGAGGAGGAAGAGGAGGAGATGGAGATGGAGAATTTAAGAAAATAATCCATTATTATATAATCAATTTTTTAAAATGGAAAACTATCAGTTAAAAGCTGAGATTCATGATGGTTTAAAAATAATGGCACTTTTTACACTTAGCACATATGTTAGTGCTTCCCATAAAACATGTTTTCCTTTAGGTAGTATGCTTGTTCAACTCGGATTTGGGGATTTAAATGAGATAAATTTTGATGTATCTTAATTGCAACCATTCAGAGTTACCTTGAGGAGAAAAAAAAAATGTGACCAAAATCTCTCTATATTGCCTTTCCTTCATGCATCTGTTTCTCTTTGCTGATATTTTTGTCAGGTCAGGTATTCATGCTCTATGGATACTTTTGGACACCGACTGACATGCTTATGGTATTGCTAATAGTGCCTTCTCTCTCCCATGATGGAAAGAACTAACGGAGTTATCTGGAGGAAGGTTTGCCAGTGATCCAGGGCAGGATACACTTGGAATATGGCCCTATGACAATGTTCTGCCCAGTAATATTGATCTCTGTTCTTTTTGTCATCATCATTCTCCTACTTAATTATAATTAAAAATTTTTAAGGTGGTAGAAGTGAAGTGAACATGCAAGTCATAGATTGCAATTCACCACATTTATCTAATGAAACTTATAGACAGGAGAGGTGAGCAGTTTGAGATCACATATATTACTAATGGCAGAATTTGCCATAAAATACTATTCATAATATTCATAATTACTAGATTACATAATAATATAATCACTTTTGCTCATATTCTCTTAGAGTTTTCTCCTTAAAGGGGTGGTATCTTGGAGGGTTTTAATTTATTCACTTAGTAGAGCTACATATATGCTAGACATAAAATAAAATGCCAAATAAAATGCCTTTTATGTGATAAGTAGCTCACTTTTCAGGATCCTGTAAGAACCATGCTTCCTAACATCCATTGAAGAGCTGACCTAAAACAGGGGGTGGGGGCGGTCATTGAAAAGGAAATCCCATAAAATCTGTAGCATATCTTCTCTGGGAACTGTGTTGACAAACTTTGACTAAGTTGGGTCTCCCATTGTCACTGCACATTGTCTGAGATTTCAGACAATACATGTAATTGCCTTTTGTGCTAGGAAAAGTTGTTTTGTAGGTGAGCACAGGCCACTATGATCAAAAAGCAGATTGTTTTCTCTACGTTAAGCAGTGTGCAGGACATACCCAGAGATTCTGTGAAAGAACTACAGATTCATCAGTACCTGGGGACTACCTTCTGTTGGGGAGTATCACAGCATCTCCTGACAAAAATAGAACTAGGGGGAGCCTTTTACATCTTAGATGCATTTATGTTCAGTATAGTTTGTTTTATTAGAAACTTAGTGGAAAGCCTTTCCAAACCTTAGTCACTTTATATTTAAAAAATTTTAAAAATTATGTGCATAGTCATATATTTCTTCATTTCTTTTGTGTTCTATAATTTCCAACCAAATGCTTTTTAAAAACCTTTCTGTGTGGATTTCTTGTGTAAGAGGTGCCTAGAGACACCATG